ATAAAAGATAAGTGGACACAAAATCACTGGATTCGTGTGGACGGGACCATAATGTTTAACAAGTGGTTTTAAGTGGTTAAACAAAATGGCCAAGTTCCCAGTTATTTTAGCTTGCACCTTGCAAATTGAGTAGAAATCCTCGCTCAAATATAGGCCATGCATTACAGCAAAGCTTTCATAGAGACATGTGCAATACGTGCGTGACAACGAATGAAAGAAATTATTTTGGCTTCCTGTGTTCTATTTCTATCCTCCCCCCGACTAATCTGTGTATTTATGCAAACATTATTCCAAAAGCAATGAAGTGCGACAATCGAGCTTGTGTGACTTGCCAAAACGAAGACTGAGCATTCGGTGTATACCAGAAATAAAAAGTATTTTCTAGTAAGATTGGATGCAAAGCCTATAAAAATTACAGCAACTATCAGATAAAGGATTGAGCTATTAGTACAAGGAGAATAACAGAAATCTCTGGAGCCGTTTTGATGAAAATGGACTTTTTGTGATTTTTTAACAGGCCTTACAATTTAAGCTTTTATTCATTTCCAGTAAAAAATATTGTAACTCTTTTAATTTGAAMGTTATAGAACTGAAATTTACACATACTAATTTTACTAATTTGATGTACAACATATCGCAAGATCATTGCAATCGGTTGTATATTTATTTCTATACGGCTGTTTATTCTATGTAGGTCATATTTTGGTCTTATTTTTGAGCCCCGCTCATATCTTTATTTCTGCCCGAGTTTTTCCAACCAAATTCACAAACCTTACGCAGTTTAACAACAACAACTCTTTATTTGTACCTTTGACAAAAGTTTACAATTGTGATCCTGACTAAATTAAATTACAGTAGGTACTGGCCCTAACAAATAACTTGGAAGCTAAAAATGGGTTAGGACCAGGAAACAGTTATACATTTTACATTGTTAAGATGACGGAGTTATATTCGACGGAAAGAGATATGTTACAGATAACACGCACACACATAAAACACACACACAAATGTTTTGGAGGAAGATATAGATAAATATAAATATTAGATACAATTTTAATACAGTATAAAAGAATAATWAAATTGGAGAAAACTTTCTTTCAGTTGAGAGATTTCATTGTGAAGTGGACTCAATTTAGAGTCTAAAATTGCTTTGAGTTCCTCCACAGACACAGACATGACAACGTTGAGATACAAGAACACAAGGATACAAAATAAGGGCAAAACTAGAGATCAAATTTAGAGAGCGTTCAAATAAGCCGCCATTTCTTTGAATCAAATTTAGAGAGCGTTCAAATAAGCCGCCATTTTCTTTGAATGTTTGATGAGATATACAAATTCTAAAAATTTCGAGATGATCCGAATGTTAGTTTTAGAGTAAATCGGCGAAAACT